CTCATGAACTCAAAGTTACCGTATTCGATTTCCCGATTACATCGAATCCACTGATAACCACTGAGTACTCGTTATCGCCCAGTCTCTCAGCGGCCTTAGGAAATATTCCGTAGATCTAATTTTGGCTACTCTCGGCATCCCACCGTGAGGGGATCTGAGCGAGAAGCGATTACAATTCTGCGATAACATAAAAAAAAAAAAAAACAAAAAAAAAACAACTACTACAACTAATTTTTGGATAAACGAAAAAAAAAAAACTTTTTACAGGATAAAAAAAAAATGGAATAGCACGGCTTTTAAATTAAACATGGCTTCTAGAAGATACTTAATTATAATAGAAAAATCATAAAGGTAATTTAAAAAGGGAGAGAAAAAACCACAAGTGAGGTTTTTTTAAATTGAAATTCTAAAGAAGAATGTAAAAATGTTATGAGTAAAAGTGCGAAGCATTCTTAAAGTGTCTAGTTTATGCCAAAGTTTTGAAAAATGTATTTACGTAGCTACTTCATAAATAAATAAACTCGACGGGGGAAGAATAATGTAGAGCAGTGAGTCTCAAGGTTATGTCCCCTTGACAGGTCTGATTCTGGATTTTTATTTTCAGAATAAATGTTTTCAGTACATGATTGTCAAGTACTTCCTGGCTACAAGTTCTCAAGAATGTTGAATTCGGAGGTCTAAAAATATTTAAAATTTTGGTGAGGATTTTAGCAAAATATTAAAAACCGATACAATGTCTAAACGTATGATGTTTTTAGAACCACTGATGTAGAAAGGACTGAAGCCAAAATAATAATATTATTACACGCACACCTTCTTGTTTTATTTTCTTCTTCTTTTTCTGGGGTTTTTTTTTTTTGTTTTGTTTCGTTTATTCCTCCTCCACAGACCCCCAGGTAATTTTTTACTATCAAGAAAAAATTCTTGCTTTAAGTTTCGGTAACGCGGCAAAAAATAAAATTCGTCTGAAAATGGATTTCACCGCGTTTGTTGTCGTTTTTATCTGGTAACTCGTGAACCGCGGGGGGGCTAGGTTGGAGGGTGATATATTTTCAGCTCGTTATTAAAATACAGGGGTAAAACCGCGACAAAAATAAACCGCAAGATAAATCACCAACATTAGAGAGATTGCGTGTGTGGGTGGAGGGAGGGTGCTAATTTTTGTAAATAAGTGCTGAGAGAGATGAATGAGTAAGGGGGGGGGGGAGAGGGTAAGACTCAAGCAAATTAATTTCTACGTACGTGCACTCATACTCTCTCTGCCCCTTGCCCCTTCCCAACTCTCCCTCTCTCTCTCTCTCTATATATATATATACATGTGTATATACATACATAATACACTCACAAACACACACACACACACACACACACACACATATATATATATATATATATATATATATATATATATATATATATATATATATATATATATATATATATACATATATATATTTATATATACATATATATGCATGTATATATATACACACAATCGGCTGATGGATGTCAAGTAAAACATTAAAAAAATATTGAACCAGACGCAAGTAGAAAAGGTGAAATTCGTGCTGTTCTCCATGACGTCAGCTCTGTTTTTAGACACGATCTCATCTTGTTTCGGGTTTTCCCCTTACATTATATAAAAAAAAAAAATAGCCAGGAATAGGAAGGCTTTAAATTTGCGTGAAGGTTAATAATACTGTTTTTTTTTTCTTTTTTCTTTTTTTTTTAACAGGGCAACATCCGAATCCTAAAAAAAGAAGTTTGTCTTTAGCTTTTGGTTGGTGAAGAATTATGATGAAAGGCGATTTACATTTTGGTGCAGAGACTTCAAATCTATTAGTCTAACCTCGACTGGACTAGTTCTGATAGGCGATCTTTAATTTATTCTATGTTCGTTTATTATATCCCCGACCTTGCCCAGTTCTAAAGTTCTAACCCTAATCGGAATCCTGATTTCCTGATCTACCAAAAAAAAAAAAAAAAAAAAAAAAAAAAAAAAAAAAAAAAAAAAACAAAAAAAAAAAGAGAGAGAGAAAACGAAGGTGTGATTTCAAGTAATCAAGGAGCCTACGGGCGTATAAATATCTATCCAATTTAGAGACGCGAGAAATTATTTTTCATCTTCAGTGCGATAATCAGTCTATCAGGCTTACTTTTTTTCTCGAATAAATCAGAAACATATTTGATAGTTCCATTTTAGACTGACACAATCTGTTTGTGAATTTAGCCAAAGGGACAGAACTCACTCGCGTATGCTCTCATGCGCATGCGTGACAATGTCATTTTTGTATTTAAACTTTAGAAATTTCGACGTATCAATGTCAGGAAAGCCAGATGAAAACCTACAACCCACACAAGTGGACGCTAAGAAGTAAATTGCTTGCACATGATGCATTCACCCAGTTATGAGCGCCCACACGAAAATCCGTGGTCAACCTTTATGTAATGTAAGCCGTTGACTCCAGTTCATGTGGTCAAGGCTCAAAGTTTAATGTAAGCTGTCGAATCTAGTTCGTACTGCGTGCTGCATGATGGCAAAGCAGAGAAAGTCTGTGACCAGAATGATAGCAACGGAAAAATGCGCACCAAACTAGTGCGCAAGGGAATTTATTTTCTTTGAATCGATCATTTATTGACATTAGCATTGTAGCATTATAAAAAAAAATTCTAAAGAAATATGGAGAAATCTTTTTTTTTATGAGAAAATAAATGTGTGTTAATATAGTTTGTAGTTGCGCATTTTTCTATTTCCTCAGTTTTCGGTTGCGCCTTTTTCCGTTTGCGTATTTTTTTTTTCTGGCAACCGAGAACGTCACACCACGTATACATGTCTAGGTCAGTCACTGGATAGCGAACAGATGGAGAAAGATTTGAATAAATTAACCGAAATTCCTTAGACCCCCCCCCCTCCTTTTCCCGATTTCTCTCTCTCTCTCCCCCCCCCCCAGTTTCTAATTATCGTATCCAAGAAAGTAAAACGAAATTCTACAGCTGTTCCTGTGCCAAATAGCATTACAATTAAATCCACTTTTCATGCACAAAGAGGTTGGTGCAAAAAATAAATGGAATAAAGGATGGGCTTTGAATGGGTTTAACGTGAAACATTTAAAAACATGTATTATTAAGTATATAAAAATATTTGAAAGGGAAAAAAAAACTTGCTTAAACCCAGTAGGATTGTTTCGTACTTGAAACATATTTTGTCTACATTTTGTGAATGTGTTTGTTTTATTTCTTTTGAAATTTGTTGGACAAGCCGTGCTTAACCATTAAGTGGCGTGCGGTGGAGGGCAAAACACACGACTGCTAACCCGCTAATCTCTAGTTCGGATCCCTGACTCTTATTCGTACGACATCCCTGAGTCCACCCAGCACTATTGAGTACCTGACTCAGGGAAAGTAAAAGCGACTGGGCATCGAACTGAAACACACAATGCTTCAATATGCCACGGTCACTGATACTAAATTTTCTCTACTTCACTTTTCCTGAACGAGGAAAAGCGTAAAAAGTAAGACAATACATCAAGAAATGGTACACAAAAAAACTGAAAAACGAAAACTTTTTAAAACTTCCATGCCCATAGCTGTGTTCATTTGGTGCTTTCCCCAAGTCCATCTTACAATCCAAGAGTCTAGTCGAGATATTTAACTCTGAGAAAATTAGCAAACACTACTCGTAGCTAATTACCTCGTTCGGCCCACAACCTTTGCATAATGCCTAATCCATTCCCACAGTTCAAGCGGCAAAAAAAAAAAAAAAAAAAAAAAAAAAAAATGGACATTATTTTCTTGGACTCGACAAAACGAAAAGGGGCGTGTTTCCTGTTAGCCTCTGTCTGGTGATTATGTAATGAAGGTACCAAGAGTTATATATCTTACGGGAGATCTTCAGACAGTGAGGGGAGGGGGGGGGGCGGAAGTCGAAGAGGTTTTGGCTGTAGTTTCAGGTCGTATGCAAATCTTTTGATTTGTAGTGGTGGTGGTTCTTGGTTACTTTCATGGTGTATAAAAAAATCTTATTTACTCAAAAGTGCTGGGTTGGTCGGTTGGTGTAATAGAAACTAAAAGACAAATGGGGATCTTAAAGGTCAGGGCGATGTGGGGTGGGGGTGAGGGTGGATGAGCGGAAGTTAAAGTGGGATGTGGGGGAGAAGACATGTGGGGGGCTAGATGTTGGAGTGAGGGAGACGTGGGGATATGCGGGACTAGAACTGGGATGGGGGGGGGGCGGCAGATGTGGGGAACTAAGTGGGGGTGACCAGATGTGGGAATGTGCGGGACTATAAGTGGAATGTGGGGGAGAAGACATGTGAATGTGGGGGACGGGATGTTGGGGCTAGATGTGAGGATGTGGGAGATCTATATGTGGGGGTGTGGGGGAACTATAATATGTGGGGGTATGGGATAACTATATTTGGGGGTGTGAACAGACGTGAGGGACTGGATGTGGGGATTTGGGAGACTGTGGGGGAATAGACATGGAGATGTGGGGGACGGGATGTGGGGGTGTGGGGGAGCAGTCGTGAGGGACTAGATGTGGTGGATTTGGGAGACTATGTGGGGAAAAAGACATGCGGATGTGGGGGTGGGGTGAGAATGTGCGGGACCAGATGTGAGAATGTGCGGGATTAGATATGATTATACACAATCTACCACCACCAACAGTACACTACCGTCAATACACTACCGACAGTACAATACCGTCAGTACACCACCAACAGTACACTACCGTCAGTACACTACCAACAGTACACTACCAACAGTACACTACCAACAGTACACCATCGTCAGTACACTACCGTCAGTACACCACCAACAGTACACTACCGTCAGTACACCACCAACAGTACACTACCGTCAGTACACCACCAACAGTACACTACCAACAGTACACCACCAACAGTACACCACCAACAGTACACTACCGTCAGTACACTACCAACAGTACACTACCACCACTACACTACCGTCAGTATCAAAGAGTAGCCGGCACTCACCTCATGACCCATGCGGGCCGCCCTGTGGAGTAGCGTCTCCCCAGAGTTCTTGTTGACCGTCAACTTCTTGACGTCAGCCGGCACCGGCACGTTCTCCACGGGGATGCTGCTGATGACGTCACACTGCTCGTTCTCGAACTCACCCTCGTCCTGAAACACCACAGGATACAAGGATTAGTTCATGGGATACAAGGCTTAGTTCATGGAATACAAGGCTTAGTTCATGGGCTTAGTTCATGGGATACAAGGCTTAGTTCATGGGATACAAGGCTTAGTTCATGCGATACAAGGCTTAGTTCATGGGATACAAGGCTTAGTTCATGGGATACAAGGCTTAGTTCATGGGCTTAGTTCATGGGATACAAGGCTTAGTTCATGGGATACAAGGCTTAGTTCATGCGATACAAGGCTTAGTTCATGGGATACAAGGCTTAGTTCATGGGATACAAGGCTTAGTTCATGGGATACAAGGCTTAGTTCATGGGCTTAGTTCATGGGATACAAGGCTTAGTTCATGGGATACAAGGCTTAGTTCATGGAATACAAGGCTTAGTTCATGGGCTTAGTTCATGGGATACAACGCTTAGTTCATGGGATACAAGGCTTAGTTCATGGGATACAAGGCTTAGTTCATGGGATACAAGGCTTAGTTCATGGGATACAAGGCTTAGTTCATGGGATACAAGGCTTAGTTCATGGGATACAAGGCTTAGTTCATGAGATACAAGGCTTAGTTCATGGGATACAAGGCTTAGTTCATGGGATACAAGGCTTAGTTCATGGGATACAAGGCTTAGTTCATGCGATACAAGGCTTAGTTCATGGGATACAAGGCTTAGCTCATGGGCTTAGTTCATGGGATACAAGGAGGGGGGGGGGGCGAGATGTATAAGGAGGGGGCCATGTACAAGGAGCAGGGGCGCGATGTACAAGAAAGAAGGGCGCGATGTACAAGAAAGAAGGGCGCGATGTATAAGGATGGGGACAATACATAAGAAAGTGGGCCAATGTGTAAGAAGGAAGACGACAGCAACAGGAATCTCTGAAAAGATGTTCCAGTCTGAGAAGCAAGCACGTCCAGGAGTTGGCTGAGTGGGATAATGTAAGAGAGAGTGGGTAAGGGAAGGGGGGGGGTGATTGAGCAGGTGTGTGGTGTATTATGTGGTATAAAAGCGTAATTTTTTTAACACCTAAAAAGACTGGAAAAAAAACCCTTACTAAGGTGTATCCATTCATACATTTGTTTTAACTATCTCTCATGAGTGTGAGAGGGGAGGAGGTAGTAGGGGAATTGAGTGGGGGTGGGGGGGGGCAGTTAACCTTTTTGCCTTGTTTTATTTATAAACAAGAACGAGGTAGTGATCTTTTCACCTGAGCTATGTACCATCTGTCTCGTGCCTTGAACCAAATCCAGATGCGTCGTGGCTGCTCCATTTTTTTTATACAGGTGTATACACGGAGGGGTGGGGGTATTGGGGTGGGCGGGGGGTGTGGGTGTTCTGGGAAAGCTAACCAAAATAATGTCATGCCTGACATGAGAAACTACGGAAGCCGGACAAAAATAGACTTGGCTTGAGCCGGCGGGCTAGTGATCTAAATCTGTCTACGCCACAGCGCAAAACCGTTTTGGACCATAATATTTTGGACGTTATCAAGAGGTTTACGATGCTTGGTCTTAAAGTAATGTTCTGTGGGTTATGTATGGCTCTTTGTGTTATTTTAGAAGATTTCTGAGCAGGTTAGAATGGCAAGCATTTATGTTTATTTATTTATTTTTTATAACTTTGATAAAAATAGATATTGTGCATTAAAAATAATATTTTTTTTATCATTTTTCGAAGATAAAGCAAGCATTATAGTCTACATGGGGGTGGTGCTTTATTATTTATGCGAGATGTTGAGCACTGACTGGTTAAAAATAAAAACAGCTTTGTTTAAATTAAACAGAAAATGTGGTGTAAAGATTTAACAGAACAGTGTGGGTGTATATATTTCAAGACTTTCGGCATATTGTTTGCGTGTGAAAAGATAAAAAACGAAATTCTCAGTGAAGAAAGGTTCTTAAAACGATGATGAAGAATAGAGCTTTCATAGAGGTTACTTTAAAAATCTGCCTTTGTACACAGGAAAGGTTCTCAGACAAGCTTTTTTATGGAAGCTTTTTTTAAAAATCTACCTTTCTACACAGCCAAATAGATAGGTTCTCAAACACAAGATAGAAAAACACAGAAGGTTTTCAATACAATGTGGGGGATAAAACGCAAGTGAAAGAATGTTCTCTTTCCAGTGTAGAAGAACATGGTTGTTAGGGAATGTTTTCAAATCAAAACTATGAAGAAGAACTCATGAATGGTGGTTATAAATACAGAGAGGGGGATGTCTGTTTGCTGTGTAAGAACCTACATACAAATAAAATAGAAGATTTGGAGCACAATGACACAACATTCAGGCGCCTTGAGATTATTAAATAATAATTTAAAGCCATCAACTGCATCTTGCAGTCGTCTGCCTCACCTCCAGTCCATCTTGCCCCTCCTCATCCTCCCCGCCCGCTTTAGCCTTCATCTTCCCGCGAACTTTCTTCCTCTTTGAAGATGGCGTCGCGTCGTCGGAAACCATTTCCGCCACCAGATCTTCCGGGACGTTCTCCACATCCGACTCGTAATCCTCCTTGTGATGCGCCCCTGACGTGGACGCCCCGCTGATCTTGGAACAAGAGTTCCCCTTCCCGGAGACGAGCCGCCCTGTTCCCTTGTTCCCGCCAGTTTTGCCGGTGGCGTTCTGGTGGTTCTTTTTCGCACTTCCGGTGCTGGTCTTGGTTTCCGGTGGGACCCACGACTCGCCGAGAACGGAGTCATCGTTGTCTTGGTCTAGAGAGTTATCTCGCTGTTGTGAGAGTCGTTCCCTGGCCTTGCTGCTTGCCTATGATCGTCAACAACAGAGAAAAAAAAACCGAATGAAACTTCTGTTTCATATAAACTACGCTTCATATAAAATATTAAAAAAATTAATCTAATTTATTGCTTTAAAAATAAAAATAGAAAATAAAAAAAGATTATCCAGAAATAAATATTGGTTTCATCTTGTGCTGAAATACGATAACGAAAACAAGCGTCTAAAAAAATTAGTCTAACAACGTAAAATGATTGATATGAAATTTCACTTGCAATTCTTTCACACTTTTAAATTTTTTAAATCAAATTTGTTTTGATGAATAACACAACGAATGAAAAAACTAATCTTAAAAATACTTCACTGTATGTAAAAAGATACCCTTCCAAATAAGGCAAGTAGGGTAGAGTTCCCCTGATTACATGAACTCGACATTTTTAGGGATGTCTGCACAATTACTTACCATAAAATAAGGTTGGTATTCAACAGAGCTGGGTGGATTCAAAGACCGCTTACGGATCTGAACTCTAACCTTTCGAGTTAGCAGGCATGCGTTCTACCATCCAACCACGCGATCCCATTTATACATTATTATGTAATATTATTATCCTATAACTTTTTTCAACAAATAATATAAAGAAAATGAAAGAAATGGTATGAGTTACCTGTCGTTTCGCCCTGACCACTGCCCGTCTGTTGGCCTCTCGATGGAGCTCCTGTTCATAGGCGGCGTTACGGTTGTAGCGGCGTATCTTGCGTTTGCCTGAAATAGGAAATAAAGACATCAGCTTAAATTGTTTCTTTTAAATCTAGAACACAAACAACGTACACAATTGTGGGCGCTTGCAGTCTATTTGCCTGAAATAGGTAACAAAGATATCAGCTTAAATTGTTTCTTTTAAATCAAGAACACAAACAACATACACAATTGTGGGCGCTTGCAGTCTATTTGCCTGAAATAGGTAACAAAGATATCAGCTTAAATTGTTTCTTTTAAATCAAGAACACAAACAACATATGAAGTTTTGCAACGCGGTCTTTTGGCCTGAAATAGGTAACAAAGACATCAGCTTAAATTGTTTCTTTCAAATCAAGAGTACAAACAACATACACAATTTTGTGCGCATGCAGTCAATTTGCCTGAAATAGCAAACAACGATATCAGCTGAATTAAATAGTTCGTTTCAAATCAAAAACACAAGCAACAGACAAACTTTGCATGCGGTCTATCTAACAACGATATCAGCTTTCAAATCAAGAATATTAGCAATAGAAAAAAATTTCAGGCATTAAGTCAATTTGCCTGGAATAATAAACGTTCATATATGCTTAAAATAAACTTAACCAATAAAACAAATATATGAAAATTAAAATGGACAGTTCGTTTAAAATCAAGAATAATAGCAACACAATTTTTTCGAGGCAAATTTGCTAGAAATATGAAACAATCATATCCGTTTAGACAGTTTGTTTAAAATAAAAACTGCTAGCAACGGATATTTTCGGGTACGCAGTCAATTTGTCTGGAACACAACAAAAAATTATATCAGCTTAAAAAAAGCTTAAAGCTAATAAACAATGACGCGAGGCTATGAAAATTAAAATTGACTGTTCGTATAAAATCAAGAATACTAGAATAACAACAGATACAATTATTGCTCACGAAGCAAATTTGTCCGGAATAGGAAACAGTAATATTAGTTTAAGATAAACTTAGAACTGGTAACCCATGCTACAATGCTATGAAATTTAAAGAAGTTTGTTTAAAAATCAAGAGTACTAGCTAGAGAGAGATTTTTTGCACATGAAGTCCGAGTTCTTTTGACAACCGGGATGGTGGTAGTATTAGGGTGAACATGTTGTAAGGGATGAAGCGAAGGCGTGGTCTACATTGTGCGATTACAAGTAAAGCTCTTCTTTAGACCTAGCGACAGACTGGGCAGATGCAGCAGAGTTCCTGTGTTTCTTGACATCGGCATAAGAAGGATAGTGTAGTCAGCACTATACGGAAGTCCGGTACCCGTCAGAACTGGGTGGACTCAGAGACGTCCTACAGTCCGAACCGTAATCCGAACTTTAGACCTTCGGGATCATAGCCAACCGCTCTACCATTCGACCACTTCGTCCCTGCTTTGTGCGATACCTCACAACAGAAATGAAGTTGTGGAACATTCACAAAGAGAGAAATGCGACACAGGATTCTAAAAATACAACCCAGATAAGTTGCAAAAACACGCGAACAAACTGTAGAAACATCTCGGTTAATTACAGAGGAATTCGTCAATCTATCGTTGAAAACTATTAACATTCGTCGTCAATGTAGCGTTGCAAACTATTAAAATTGAGTTAGATATCTGTTCATAATGTAATCCCAATTATTTTAAATCCCTATTCCACTACCGTCCCTCTCCACTATCCATTTAAAAAATAAACATCAACAAACAGCCACTAAACCATTAATAACGTGTACGATGTTTGCCCCCCCCCCTCCCCACGTGTTTGCCGTCGCCTGCGTCACAATCCCCATGTCAACAACAACTTATCAATGTCACGTGACTCCCGGTTCAGGCTAATGTGCTCTCATTTTCAGAATGTCGGCCAAATGACCCCCCCCCCCCCTCCCTATTAGGAGAGAAAATGTTGCATTAGTCCCCTGATATATTGAACTGAACCCCCCCCCCCCCTTCCCACCCCAAAACACACACACTGCTCACAGTTTTATTACGGACACCTGTCGTTCTCTCGTTAACGATCAAGACCAGCGGTTCTCACGTCTGTTGGTCAGGGACACAGGTAACATCGAATGACTCGACTTATGGGAAAATATCCCTCTTCTTCTTTTTCTTCTTTCTTAATTTTAGAGTTCAAAGGGATCCCCTCCAACACAATTAAGTATAAGTGTTAATTAGTTATGCGCCATTTAGGCCGATGACTCCAATTTCCGACGGCTTTTCTTTTTGGATTTACTTCTATGTCCAAACAAGGACAAACTGCAAGACAGCAGTTGTTTGAGCCTAATCTGCCTGGGGGTTTGAACTCAGGATTTATCGGTTCAGCAACCATAAGCGAAACCGACTCGACCACGCCGACCTCCATCTAAAAAGCGCTGTTGCACTCGAACTTGCTTTTGGGCCACGCACATTTTGTTCTCTTAATTCAGTAGCCAGAAGTTCTCGAGTTGATCTCAGTTCGGACTTGTGACTGGAGGACGCCCTTAGTCTACCAAGCTCTGATAGATACATGACTTACGTTGAGGGAAGTAAAGGAGGCTGGACATAGTGGTGACTACACTATCCATTTATATGCAGATTTCAAAAACCTATGACCTCTACTTCATCTGCCCAATGGATCGCTAGTTCTAAAGCGAAATCTTTATTTTAATTTAATAATTGTTTCAATGTAGCTGTTGTGTAGCTGAATTTAGTTACATACTTTCTTCGTAATAACGTTATAGAAAAAAAATTTGAGAACCATCAACAACGTTGTGTTAATCTAGTCTTAATGGTTACATTCCTGGAAGAAATACAACACAGAAAAAACGTACAAAGGTAACATTTGAAGAAAAAAGATTTCTCCATACAAAAATCCAACCACCAATACAAAAGCCTCCATTCATCTATATAAATGTATCAATGTTATTTCTGATTCAAGTCAGAACAACAGACTTCAAACGATCCAGATGACTTCCTTGTTTTAACAAAAGCCAAAAGCAACGACCGTTTTCTTCCGCATGCACTTGAATTACACGGGGGCGGGGTCTTACATAAGGGTAGGGGGTCTTAAACGATTTCCATCTATCGATCTACTCTACAGCATCGGGAAAAAAATCAATCAACGGCAGACAAGGGTCATTCAACGCTGACAGATCAAGATGAACACAATTTACATATCACACATAACGTTGGCGTGAACTTATTACTCCGCGGAAATAGTTTACACGTCTACGTCGCTTCTCTTATGAGGCGAGTTCATAGAGTGCTGTATTTGTGCCAATAAACGCGCTTTGGTCTCTTAGGAATAATAATGTATAGGCTATATTTGCATAAGCATAATTATAAGTATATATATATATATATATATAAGTATATATATATATATATATATATATATATATATATATATATATTTATATATATATATATATATATATATAAGTATATATATATATATATATATATATATATATATATATATATATATATATATATATATACATATATATATATATATACATGTATTATATAGATATATATTGCCTATATATATATATATATATATATATATATATATATATATATATATATATATATATATATATATATATATATATATATAATAGGTCCCATTGTAGTCCGTTTTCATAGATTGCTGAAGTGACACAAATCTGGCTAATTGTCCCCTTGTTACTAGAACAACTCAGAGCATCATACATAGCACATCGAATTAATAAAAGCTTAGTGTAGTACCACCTCAGCGATAGCTAAGTATTCTTTAAGTTGTAAAAAAAAACGGTAGAGAATATTGTACTTAGTTTGTCTCGGTCTGCACAAAGAACCCCCCCCCCCCCTCCCATATAGTCTTTGATTATGGACCAGCAACGTAGCCTTGATGTAATGAATTTTTTTCACCTTTTGTTTTTTTGGTTTCACGTTTCCAGAGGACGTAAGCAGACGAGTACTCTTGTGGTCGAATACGGAGAGATCGATACCTTTGATCGTATTCGTTATCATGAATGTTTGATTGGGGCTGTTTCCATAATGTGATGCCACTCGTTCGTTGCGGTAGTAGATGGTGGGGGGGGGGTATGTTTGGATGGAAGGTGGGGGGGGGGGGGAGGATGTGTTGATGGAAGGTAGGGGGGTAATTATGTTTTGATAGAAGGTAAGGGGGTAATATGTAAGGTAGGGGTCATATGTTTTGATGAAACTTTGGGGGGGGGGGCAGTATTGCCTCTAAGCTGCACGGCCGCGCAGTAGTTTTGAACCTGCCAGGCAGTCCTTTTCTAAAATACATATACCCTTGTATAAGACTTTTAGAACACCGCGCACACAAAATACAAGTTGTACACTAGCATTTTCCCCTTAGATGGAATCTTGTGGGGGGGGGGAGGATGTTTTGATAGAAGGTAAGGGGGGGGGGGTGATATGTAAGGTAGGGGGTATATGTTTTAATGTAAGGTAGGGTGTATTTATCAATGGAAGGTTTGTATGTGTAGTGCGGGGTGTATGGGGGATATATATTCAATTGGAAGGTGAGGGGGGGGGGGTGATGCTTTGATTAATCGCGACAGTTATTATAGATGTAATCAAGGAGAAGGGGAGGGGGAACTTGGGGGTTGAAATGAACTGTAACAGTTGGTTACCAAGGATATGATTTTTTTAGTTCATTGTTTTTTTTATAACGTCAAAGAATATGTTAGCAACGGCTGTTTTTTTTTTTAAAGCTGCTCAAAGGATTTAGCCTGACTAATTACGGAAGGCAAATAGCTCAAATTAGACCCAACGTAGATAGGCTATCAAGTAATTGGCTGACGTGGAAGCAATTATACTTAGATCAAACGAATTTCATACAGAGATATAAGTAAAGGGGTTGTCCACATATGTGACATAGGAAGTATGGGTTCGAAATGTGTCAAAATTTATGGAAGTCTCCCAAACCTTATAAAACATTGAGTAAAACACATAAAGTTTTTAAAAAAATAGGTTGTCCAAAAATAGCGAGTATCCACCCACCAAACCACATTAAAAAAAAAAACAACCACCA